GGTCTGTGTGTGTGTGTGCAGAGGTGGTCTATGCGTGTGTGTGCAGAGGGTGGTGTGTGTGTGCAGAGGGTGGTGTGTGTGTGTGCAGAGGGTGGTCTGTGTGTGTGTGCAGAGGTGGTCTGTGTGTGTGTGTGCAGAGGTGGTCTGTGTGTGCATGTGTGCAGAGGGTGGTCTGTGTGTGCAGAGGTGGTCTGTGTGTGCATGTGTGCAGAGCGTGGTCTGCGTGTGTGCAGAGGGTGGTCTGTGTGTGCATGTGTGCAGAGGTGGTCTGTGTGTGTGCATGTGTGCAGAGGGTGGTCTGTGTGTGCATGTGTGCAGAGGTGGTCTGTGTGTGTGTGTGTGTAGAGGGTGGTCTGTGTGTGCATGTGTGCAGAGGTGGTCTCTGTGTGCATGTGTGCAGAGGGTGGTCTGTGTGTGTGCATGTGTGCACAGGTGGTCTGTGTGTGTGCATGTGTGCAGAGGGTGGTCTGTGTGTGCATGTGTGCAGAGGTGGTCTCTGTGTGTGTGCGCATGTGTGCAGAGGGTGGTCTGCGTGTGTGCAGAGGGTGGTCTGTGTGTGCATGTGTGCAGAGGTGGTCTGTGTGTGTGCATGTGTGCAGAGGGTGGTCTGTGTGTGTGTGCAGAGGTGGTCTGTGTGTGTGCATGTGTGCAGAGGGTGGTCTCTGTGTGCAGAGGCTGGTCTGTGTGTGCATGTGTGCAGAGGCTGGTCTGTGTGTATGCAGAGGCTGGTCTGTGTGTGCATGTGTGCAGAGGTGGTCTCTGTGTGTGTGTGCAGAGGTGGTCTGTGTGTGCATGTGTGCAGAGGGTGGTCTGTGTGTGTGCAGAGGCTGGTCTGTGTGTGCATGTGTGCAGAGGTGGTCTCTGTGTGTGTGCAGAGGTGGTCTGTGTGTGTGCATGTGTGCAGAGGGTGGTCTGTGTGGTGCAGAGGATGGTTTGTGTGTGCATGTGTACAGAGATGGTCTGTGTGTGTGTGTGTATGTGTGTGTGTGCAGAGGGTGGTCTGTGTGTGGTGCAGAGGGTGGTCTGTATGTGGTGCAGAGGTGGTCTGTGTGCATGTGTGCAGAGGTGGTCTGTGTGTGCATGTGTGTGCATGCACACAGAGGGGGGTGGCCTGAGCTAATGCCCAGCCCTGGCCAGCAGAACCTTTCTTGCCTTTCCATTCACGTGGTACCCAGTGTGGGACACTAACATGCCAACAACCCTGCTTAGACACAGACACCTCTGGGCAGGATGGGCCTCTGGGCCTAGCCCATCTTGCCCCCCCCCCAGTCCCCCTTGACTCCCTGAACCTCCCCTGTAAGATGCGGTCAGGGCCTGTCACCGCAGTAGGAAGAGGAAAGGTATCAGCCTGGAGCATGGAGTGTTTCAGGTTTTGCATTCTTGTCCTGTGCAGCCTGACCCCAAAGCCGCTCTGCGAAGATCTGTCGGGAATGCCCTGTTCCTTTGGCCACTTCCAATGTCCAGGCAGCCCTGACCCTGCTCTGGAAACGGTCTCCAGGCCGTCTGTACGCCACCCTATACCACCTGCATCCCGCTCCCTCAGCGCGGGGGGGCATGCCTGGCTAGTTCCAGAGGTCAGGATCTGGTTCAGAAAACACCTTATGTCAACGCTCTGAGAGATGTAAAACCAAGGGAGATTTCCCATGAGCTTTTCATTAGGCAAGTATCTGGGGTCCCTGTGTACTAGGCAATGAACTACAGGGATCAACCCGGAGATGCCTGGGGAAGCCAGGTTAGACGGTGGAGACAAAAAATGGGTAGGATTGGAGATGAGGACGAGCGTGCAGAGCGTTGTCATGATGCGCAGGGCCTGGCTGAGCAAAGGGCAGCTGCAGACGTGTGCTTGATGGCCACCAGGGTGTCTGCCATGCTGCGTTCTTTGGCGACTTCTGACCCTGCTAGCCGCTGTGCGGATCTGCCAGCAAAACAGCACCAGAAGGTCCATCTGAAGTGGAAGTCCAGATAACAGGCCTGAAAAGTAAGTACGGTTGAGATCAGGGACACTGGGCAGAAATGGGCCAAGGCTGCAAAACTAGGCTGACCCCTAGAGAGCTTGGTATGGTCTTTCCGGTGTGGGCGGGGTCAGTACGCTTCTTCCCCTTGAGGTCACTCTGTAGCTCCTACTCCTTGTCACCTGGCATCTCAGGCCTGTTCTCTACTCCTCTGGACTCTGCCCCTTGACCAGAGCCTGTCCAGAAGTCCGGGAGTCCAGGGGTGACAGGATGGGGTCTGACCCCAGAGCTCTGCCCAGAGCGGAGCCTCTCGCTGCTCACGTTTTGGGGTTTCTCTCATTGATGCACTCCCTCACTTCCTTTGCTTCCCTCCTTCCCCCCTCCCTCCCTCCCTCCCTCCCGCCGTCGTCTCTCCTTCCCTCCCCTCCCTCCCTCCCTCCCTCCCTCCCTCCTTCCCTCCCTCCCACCGTCCTTCCCTCCCTCCCTCCCTCCGTCGTCTCTCCTTCCCTCCCCTCCCTCCCTCCTCTCTCTCCCTCCCCTCCCTCCCTCCCTCCCTCCTCTCTCTCCTGCCAGTCGTGGGCTTGAACTCAGGGCCTAGGCTCTGTCCCTGGGTTTTTTCACTCGAGGCGAGCGCTTGGCGCCCCTTCTGGTTCCTGGTGGTTCCGTGGAGATTCGTGTCAGGCTGGCTTTGCTCCTGGGCAGGCAGGGTGACCGGCGTGATCACCGGGGGCCAGGGGGTCGGAGCGGCGAGGCTCCCGGGCAGGGGGCGCTTCCAAGCTCCCCGCAAGCCCAGGAGGCTGGGCAGGGTGGGCTGCGGTCTGCAGACAGGGCTCAGGCCCGCCGGGGCCCCCCTCCCCGGGCCGGACGCGGCCCCCCTTCCCCGGACCCCCCTCCCCGGGCCGGACGCGGCCCCCCTTCCCCGGACCCCCCTCCCCGGGCCGGACGCGGCCCCCCTTCCCCGGACCCCCCTCCCCGGGCCGGACGCGGCCCTCCTTCCCCGGAACCCCCCTCCCCGGGCCGGACGCGGCCCTCCTTCCCCGGACCCCCCCTCCCCGGGCCGGACGCGGCCCTTCTTCCCCGGACCCCCCCTCCCCGGGCCGGACGCGGCCCCCCTTCCCCGGACCCCCCCTCCCCGGGCCGGACGCGGACCCCTTCCCCAACCGGCCCCGCCCGGGCTCCCAGCTGCCCTCCCCTCGCCCACCCACCTCCCTCCCTCCGTCGCCGCTGCTGACGGCCCAGGGCAAACGGAGAAGCGAGCTCGGGGATGGCCGGCTGAAGGCAGACGGACCGGCCACCGGGGCCCAGCACTGCCGGACCCCAGCTCCGCCTCCCGTCCCGCCGGGTCTGCTCCTGGTTCCGGGCAGAGCCAGGGGCCTGGCCGGGCCGCGCTGTCCGGCTCCTTGCAGCCTCCCCGTCGGCCCACGGGGCCCGGCAGAGCGGCTCCGAGGGGAGGGGAGCCGCGGGGGTCTCGGAACGAGCAGGCCGAGGGGCTCCAGCGGGGTGTTCCGTCTTGGCGTTGGGGTCCCTGCTCCCAGGCCGTGACGCGCGGGGATCCAGCGGGGCGAGCGGGAGTCGGGGCCGGGCGGTCTGGGAAGGGCGCCGCCCGCGCCCCGCCCCTTCCCCGCCCGGCGCCCCGCCCCTCTCCTCCCCACCCCAGCGCCCCGCCCTCCCGGCGCCCCGCCCCGCCCCTTCCCCGCCCGGCGCCCCGCCCCTCTCCTCCCCACCCCAGCGCCCCGCCCTCCCGGCGCCCCGCCCCGCCCCTTCCCCGCCCGGCGCCCCGCCCCTCTCCTCCCCACCCCAGCGCCCCGCCCTCCCGGCGCCCGGGCCCCGCCCCTCTCCTCCCCACCCCCAGCGCCCCGCCCCGCCCGGCGCCCCGCCCCTCTCCTCCCCACCCCAGCGCCCCGCCCTCCCGGCGCCCCGCCCCGCCCAGCCCCTTCCCCGCCCGGCGCCCCGCCCCTCTCCTCCCCACCCTCCCGGCGCCCCGCCCCGCCCGTCTCCACCCCACCCCCCAGCGCCCCGCCCCGCCCTTCTCCTCCCCACCCCAGCGCCCCGCCCTCCCGGCGCCCCGCCCAGCCCCTTCCCCGCCCGGCGCCCCGCCCCTCTCCTCCCCACCCTCCCGGCGCCCCGCCCCGCCCGTCTCCACCCCACCCCCCAGCGCCCCGCCCCGCCCTTCTCCTCCCCACCCCAGCGCCCCGCCCTCCCGGCGCCCCGCCCCGTCCCTTCCCCGCCCGGCGCCCCGTCCCTCTCCTCCCCACCCCAGCGCCCCGTCCTCCCGGCGCCCGAGCCCCGCCCCTTCCCCCCGGAGCCCCGCCCCTCTCCTCCCCACCCCCCAGCGCCCCGCCCTCCCGGCGCCCCGCCCCGCCCTTCTCCTCCCCACCCCCCCAGCGCCCCGCCCTCCCGTCGCCCGGCGCCCCGCCCTCCCGGCGCCCCGCCCCGCCCCTCTCCTCCCCACCCCCCAGCGCCCCGCCCTCCCGGCGCCCGGGCCCCGCCCCTCTCCTCCCCACCCTCCCGGCGCCCCGCCCTCCCGGCGCCCCGCCCTCCCGGCGCCCCGCCCCGCCCCTCTCCTCCCCACCCCCCTGCGCCCCGCCCTCCCGGCGCCCGGGCCCCGCCCCTCTCCTCCCCACCCTCCCGGCGCCCCGCCCCTCTCCTCCCCACCCTCCCGGCGCCCGGGCCCCGCCCCCTCTCCTCCCCACCCTCCCGGCGCCCGGGCCCCGCCCCTCTCCTCCCCACCCTCCCGGCGCCCGGGCCCCGCCCCCTCTCCTCCCCGCCCCTCCCGGCGCCCGGGCCCCGCCCCCTCTCTTCCCCACCCTCCCGGCGCCCCGCCCCTCCCGGCGCCCCGCCCCTCCCCGCTCCACGTCCGCCCGGGCTCCGCCCCCGCCCCGCGTCCACCCGGATCCCGCCCCCGCCCCGCCTCCGGCCCCGCCCCTTCCGGCGCCCCGCCCCCGCCCGCCCGCCCCCCGCCCCGCGCGGCCCCGCGCGCGAAGGGAACGGCCGGAGCCTGAGCACGAGCTTTATCTGCGAGGGTGGGCGGTCGCGGCCAGGACGGCGTCACCGCAGGAAGAGGTCGTCGTCCAGCGTCTCCTCCAGGATGGCCTCCACGCGCCTCCGCTGCGGAGACAGCGGCTGGGCGGAGCGCGGGGTGTGCGGGGCCCGCCCTTCCGCCGCTCCTCCCGGGGCTCCTCCCCGCTCCTCCCGGGCCTGCTGGCACCTCCTGTCGGTTGAGGGGGTCCGGGATCCGCGTGGGTTTCAGCAGCGGCGGCAGGAAGAGCTCGAGCCGGATGGCGGTGCGCGCCGAGTCCTGACGATGGACCAGCAGCGCGATCTCCTCCGCCTGCGCGGGGGGCTGGCTGGCGCCGGGCGGCCGCTCCTCCCTCGCGGCGGAGCCCGGCCCCGCCTCGGCCCCCGCCCCGGCCCCCGCCCCGGCCCCCGCCCCGGCCCCCGCCCCTCGACCCGGCCCCGCCCCGGCCCCCTGACCCCCGACCCCTGACCGCTCCACCTCTGCCGGCGGAATCCCTGTCCAGTCGCTCCTAACCCTAACCCTAACCTCCCCGCCCTCCATCCCTCCCCGCGCTCCCCCCCCCACCGTCCTCCCCCTCCGTGTGTCCTCCCCACACCCACCCGCATGCGGGTGTAGCGCAGCCGCAGGGCGCGGACGCGGCCTCGGGCTTCAGCGGCCCGCAGGACGCCCAGGAGCCGGCCGCGGCCCTGGGCCGGGCCCTGGGCCGGGCCCTGGGGCGCCGGCATCCAGGTGTACGGGTCGGGCACCGGGTAGGGCATGTCCAGCGAGTCGCGGGGGAAGATGGAGGCGGAGGCGCCCATGTCATCCAGCAGGTCCGCGAAGAGCAGGTGGCGGCGGCGCTGCGCGGGGCTCAGGAGGCTCAGCTCCTCCGGCGCCAGCGCCCACCCGGGCCTGGGCGGCTCCCGGGCCGCCGCCGCGCGCCGCGCGCCCTCGGGCAACCCTGGCCCCCGCGGCCGGCTCGGCCCGGCCCGGGGCTGAGAGCTCTTGGCGGGCGGCTGCAAGCTTCGCGCTGGGGGCAGAGAAGGAGCCGTGGTCGGACCCTCGGCCCGCCCAGCGCCATCCCCGCGGGACGCCGTCCACGGGGGGCCCCTCCACGCGGAACCCATCCATCGGGACCGTCCACGTGGGACCCCTCCACGCGGAACCCGTCCACGCGGGACGCCGTCCACGCGGGACCCGCCCACGCGGGACCCGTCCACGGGGACCCCTCCACGCGGGACCCGTCCACGGGGCCCCTCCACGAGGGACCCATCCACGGGGGACCCGTCCACGCGGGACGCCGTCCACGGGGGACCCGTCCACGCGGGACCCGTCCACGGTGCCCCTCCACGCGGCCCCTCCACGCGGCCCCTCCACGCGGGACCCATCCACGGGGGACCCGTCCACGCGGGACGCCGTCCACGGGGGACCCGTCCACGCGGGACCCGTCCACGGGGCCCCTCCACGCGGCCCCTCCACGCGGCCCCTCCACGCGGGACCCATCCACGGGGGACCCGTCCACGCGGGACGCCGTCCACGGGGAACCCCCTCCACGCAGGACCCGTCAACGCGGGACCAGTCCACACGGGACCCCTCCACGCAGGACCCCTCTACGCGGGACCCGTCCACGGGGGGCCCCTCCACGCGGGACCCCTCCATGCGGGACCCATCCACGGGGGACCCGTCCACACGGGACCCATCCACGGGGGACACCGTCTACGATGGACCCGTCCACACGGGATGCCGTCCACGCGGGACACCGTCCACGGGGGACCCGTCCGCACGGGATGCTGTCCACACAGGACCCGTCCACGCGGGATGCTGTCCACACAGGATGCTGTCCACACGGGATGCCGTTCACACGGGATGCTGTCCACACAGGACCCGTCCACACGGGATGCCGTCCACGCGGGACGCCGTTACGCGGGACCCGTCCACGAGGGACCCGTCCACAGGGACGCGTCCCCACTGGACTTCCCACACCGCCATGGGCGCTGTACCTCTGGCCTCTGCCCCTTTGGCCCAAGAGGTCCCCTGGGCCTGGCGTTTGCCCTCCCAGGCTCAGTCTGCAGGACTCTCATCTGCTGGCAGGTCTGACTGAATTGATCTCAGGCCTCCTTAGAGAGAAGGACTACTAACCCTCCCTCTAACCCAAGGGGTCTCCAGTCCAGTGGTCACTGGTCAGTATCTCATTCTATTGGAGCCCCAGGGACAGGTCTGGTCTGGTCTGCCCTGCCCAGGACTGGTCCTAGGATCCCCCTCCCCACCCTTGTGGGGGGTGCGAGGGGGAGGCACAGGCCATCGTGGAATCCTGGACTGAAGACCTAGCCCAGAGGAGATGTGTGTGCTTGCTTGCCTCTGTGTGTGTGTGTCTGTCTCTCTCTCTCTCTCTCTCTCTCTCTCTCTCTCTCTCTCTCTCTCTCTCTCTCTCTCTCTCTCTCTCTCGCTGTATTGGTGAGAAGATGTGGGGAGTAGAGCACAGGGAGGAGGTGACAGAGGGGCAAAGCCACAGGGGCAAGGGAAACTAGCCCAGCCTCTTTCTGGACCATCCTGCTGTGCTCCGTTCCCAGCCTTTCAAACTCTTTTCCACCTACCAGCCATGATCCACCAGCCAGTCTGTGGCCAGACCTGCCTGTCCCTTGTTCTACTTTCTGACTTCTCAGTGGGAACTTCTGCCTCAACCAGGATTCTATGAGATTGTTGATTGAGTTGCCCAGCAACTAGGAGCTCCAGCCATCCCACCAGAGAGGCCCAGGCTGACCTCACCATGCAGGAGAGGCCCAGGCTGACCTCACCATGCAGGAGAGGCCCAGGCTGATCTCACCATGCAGGAGAGGCCCAGGCTGACCTCATCATGGCAGGAGAGGCTCAGGCTGACCTCACCATACAGGAGAGGCCCAGGCTGACCTCACCATGCAGGAGAGGTCCAGGCTGACCTCACAATGGCAGGAGAGGCCCAGACTGATCTCACCATGCAGGAGAGGCCCAGACTGACCTCACCATGGCAGGAGAGGCCCAGACTGACCTCACCATGCAGGAGAGAGGCCCAAGCTGACCTCACCATACAGGAGAGGCCCAGACTGACCTCACCATGCAGGAGAGGCCCAGACTGACCTCACCATACAGGAGAGAGGCCCAGACTGACCTTACCATGCAGGAGAGGCCCAGGCTGATCTGACCATGGCAGGAGAGGCCCAGGCTGACCTGACCATGGCAGGAGAGGCCCAGGCTGACCTCACCATACAGGAGAGGCCCAGGCTGACCTCACCATGCAGGAGAGGTCCAGGCTGACCTCACAATGGCAGGAGAGGCCCAGACTGATCTCACCATGCAGGAGAGGCCCAGACTGACCTCACCATGGCAGGAGAGGCCCAGACTGACCTCACCATGCAGGAGAGGCCCAGACTGACCTTACCATGCAGGAGAGGCCCAGGCTGATCTGACCATGGCAGGAGAGGCCCAGGCTGACCTGACCATACAGGAGAGGCCCAGACTGACCTCACCATGCAGGAGAGGCCCAGACTGACCTCACCATGGCAGGAGAGAGGCCCAGGCTGACCTCACCATGCAGGAGAGAGACCCAGGCTGACCTCACCATGCAGGAGAGGCCCAGGCTGACCTCACCATGCAGGAGAGGCCCAGACTGACCTCACCATGGCAGGAGAGAGGCCCAGGCTGACCTCACCATGCAGGAGAGAGACCCAGGCTGACCTCACCATGCAGGAGAGGCCCAGACTGACCTCACCATGGCAGGAGAGGCCCAGGCTGACCTCACCATACAGGAGAGAGGCCCAGGCTGATCTCACCATGCAGGATAGGCCTAGACTGACCTCACCATGCAGCAGAGAGGCCCAGGCTGACCTCACCATGGCAGGAGAGGCCCAGACTGACCTCACCATACAGGAGAGAGGCCGAGGCTGACCTCACCATGCAGGAGAGGCCCAGGCTGACCTCACCATGGCAGGAGAGGCCCAGGCTGACCTCACCATGCAGGAGAGAGGCCCAGGCTGACCTCACCATGCAGGAGAGGCCTAGACTGACCTCACCATGCAGGAGAGAGGCCCAGGCTGACCTCACCATGCAGGAGAGGCCCACACTGACCTCACCATGCAGGAGAGAGGCCCAGGCTGACCTCACCATGCAGGAGAGGCCTAGACTGACCTCACCATGCAGGAGAGAGGCCCAGGCTGACCTCACCATACAGGAGAGGCCCAGACTGATCTCACCACACAGGAGAGGCCCAGACTGATCTCACCATACAGGAGAGAGGCCCAGACTGGCCTCACCATGCAGGAGAGAGGCCCAGACTGGCCTCACCATGGAGGAGAGGCCCAGACTAACCTCACCATGCAGGAGAGGCCCAGGCTGACCTCACCATGCAGGAGAGAGGCCCAGACTGACCTCACCATACAGGAGAGCAGCCCAGGCTGACCTCACCATGCAGGAGAGAGGCCCAGGCTGACCTCACCATGCAGGAGAGGCCCAGACTGACCTCACCATACAGGAGAGGCCCAGGCTGACCTCACCATGCAGGAGAGAGGCCCAGACTGACCTCACCATACAGGAGAGAGGCCCAGGCTGACCTCACCATGCAGGAGAGAGGCCCAGGCTGACCTCACCATGCAGGAGAGGCCCAGACTGACCTCACCATACAGGAGAGGCCCAGGCTGACCTCACCATGCAGGAGAGAGGCCCAGACTGACCTTACCATGCAGGAGAGAGGCCCAGGCTGACCTCACCATGCAGGAGAGAGGCCCAGACTGACCTCACCATACAGGGGAGAGGCCCAGACTGACCTCACCATGCAGGGGAGAGGCCCAGGTTGACCTTACCATGCAGGGGAGAGGCCCAGGTTGACCTTACCATGCAGGAGAGGCCCAGGCTGACCTCACCATGCAGGAGAGGCCCAGACTGACCTCACCACAAAGGAGAGGCCCAGACTGATCTCACCATGCAGGAGAGGCCTAGACTGACCTCACCATGCAGGAGAGAGGCCCAGGCTGACCTCACCATGCAGGAGAGGCCCAGACTGACCTCACCATGGCAGGAGAGGCCCAGACTGACCTCACCATGCAGGAGAGAGGCCCAGGCTGACCTCACCATACAGGAGAGGCCCAGACTGACCTCACCATGCAGGAGAGGCCCAGGCTGACCTCACCATGCAGGAGAGAGGCCCAGACTGACCTTACCATGCAGGAGAGGCCCAGGCTGATCTGACCATGGCAGGAGAGGCCCAGGCTGACCTGACCATACAGGAGAGGCCCAGACTGACCTCACCATGCAGGAGAGGCCCAGACTGACCTCACCATGGCAGGAGAGAGGCCCAGGCTGACCTCACCATGCAGGAGAGAGACCCAGGCTGACCTCACCATGCAGGAGAGGCCCAGGCTGACCTCACCATGCAGGAGAGGCCCAGACTGACCTCACCATGGCAGGAGAGAGGCCCAGGCTGACCTCACCATGCAGGAGAGAGACCCAGGCTGACCTCACCATGCAGGAGAGGCCCAGACTGACCTCACCATGGCAGGAGAGGCCCAGGCTGACCTCACCATACAGGAGAGAGGCCCAGGCTGATCTCACCATGCAGGATAGGCCTAGACTGACCTCACCATGCAGCAGAGAGGCCCAGGCTGACCTCACCATGGCAGGAGAGGCCCAGACTGACCTCACCATACAGGAGAGAGGCCGAGGCTGACCTCACCATGCAGGAGAGGCCCAGGCTGACCTCACCATGGCAGGAGAGGCCCAGGCTGACCTCACCATGCAGGAGATAGGCCCAGGCTGACCTCACCATGCAGGAGAGGCCTAGACTGACCTCACCATGCAGGAGAGAGGCCCAGGCTGACCTCACCATGCAGGAGAGGCCCAGACTGACCTCACCATGCAGGAGAGAGGCCCAGGCTGACCTCACCATGCAGGAGAGGCCTAGACTGACCTCACCATGCAGGAGAGAGGCCCAGGCTGACCTCACCATACAGGAGAGGCCCAGACTGATCTCACCACACAGGAGAGGCCCAGACTGATCTCACCATACAGGAGAGAGGCCCAGACTGGCCTCACCATGCAGGAGAGAGGCCCAGACTGGCCTCACCATGGAGGAGAGGCCCAGACTAACCTCACCATGCAGGAGAGGCCCAGGCTGACCTCACCATGCAGGAGAGAGGCCCAGACTGACCTCACCATACAGGAGAGCAGCCCAGGCTGACCTCACCATGCAGGAGAGAGGCCCAGGCTGACCTCACCATGCAGGAGAGGCCCAGACTGACCTCACCATACAGGAGAGGCCCAGGCTGACCTCACCATGCAGGAGAGAGGCCCAGACTGACCTCACCATACAGGAGAGAGGCCCAGGCTGACCTCACCATGCAGGAGAGAGGCCCAGGCTGACCTCACCATGCAGGAGAGGCCCAGACTGACCTCACCATACAGGAGAGGCCCAGGCTGACCTCACCATGCAGGAGAGAGGCCCAGACTGACCTTACCATGCAGGAGAGAGGCCCAGGCTGACCTCACCATGCAGGAGAGAGGCCCAGACTGACCTCACCATACAGGGGAGAGGCCCAGACTGACCTCACCATGCAGGGGAGAGGCCCAGGTTGACCTTACCATGCAGGGGAGAGGCCCAGGTTGACCTTACCATGCAGGAGAGGCCCAGGCTG